GTGTTCTTCCTTTTTGGTTTTCAGACTCCAGGTCTTTGCACATTTCATTATAGTAATTTTTGTTGAAAACAATCCTTTAATATAGACTATATGTTTAATAATGGCTCCTGGAGGACTGGGAATGCATATCTACAGGCAGAGCTGTCCTTTGGAAGTAACCTCAAGTCCTACCAGACTTTGCTTCTCAAACCGTGGTCCTCCAACTAGCAACATGGGCATCACCTGGGAACTTGTTAGAAATGCAGGATTTCAGACCCCATTCCAGACCTACTGAACTAGAATCTACATTGTAACAACCCTGGGTGATTTGTATGTATGTTAAAGTTTGAGAAACACCAGTACCAAAAATCCTTCTATAAATAATAAAATAATAAGCAGTATTTTAAACAATCTTTTCTCTCAGCCATGACGTATGCCTAGTAATGTTTACTGATGCTTTAAGTCATGTCTGATCCATACATTTATCATTCTGTCAGGATGTACAAACAAGAATGCAGAAGAGATACTAACACTTTAAAATATGGATCATTGTTTACATTTATTCAATAGAATCTTATGGGTTGGGGGTACAATTTCTAGCAGACTTGTTAATGTCTTTAAGACTTGAGAATTATGGTTCACGTTATTTTGTTTTGTTTTGTTTTTAGCTCAGAAGTATATCATTCGAGTGAGTACAAGTATTCTTGATCTCAGAGACAAGTTTGATAATTCTGTTCAAGTGAACACTACTGATCTGATCCCAAAGGATGCCAACTCTGAAGAAGATTTTGTGTTTAAACCAGAAAACATCACTTTTGAGAATGGCACTGATCTCTTTATTGCAATTCAGGCTGTTGACAAGGTCAATCTGAAGTCAGAAATATCCAACATTGCACAAGTATCTTTGTTCATTCCTCCAGAGACTCCTCCAGAGACACTTCCCCCTTCTGTTCCTTGTCCTGATATCAGTATCAATAGCACAATTCCTGGCATTCATATTCTGAAAATTATGTGGAAATGGATAGGAGAATTGCAGCTATCAGTGGGCTTAAACTGAGTTTTTGTTTGTTGTTGTTATGTGCCGTTGAGTCAAACCTGACTCATAGCAACCCCTCCTTGGGTTTCTGAGGCAGTATCACTACAGAAGTAGATTGTGCAACCTTCCTTCTGAGGGGTGGCTGGTGGGTTTGAACCGCCAACCTTCTGGTTAGCAGTCAAGTGCCTTAGGCACTATGCTACCAGAGCTCCTGGGTTTCTATTAGGTAAATAAAATAAATCATCCATCCTTCTTTTGATTATAAAATTTTCTAAAATGCATTTTAGACTACCTGTAGGGGATGATATAATGAAATAAAATGCTAAACAACTGGTTACATATAAAGAAAAAATATTTACTTTGTTTAAATCCAAATGTTCAATCGTCTCCCAGTCTTTTAATATTGATTTTGAATACTAGAAAGAAGGGGTGCTTGGATCTATAAATGGAAGTATATATTCATTTTACTGTATTTTAATTTTTTTTACTTTTTATTGGAATTTTGGTGAAAATTTACAGGGCAAATTGGTTTTCCATTCAACAGTTCATACATATTCTATTTTGTGACTTCGATTGCGATCCCACAATGTAACAGCACTCTTCCCACTTCCCTCCTTGTGTTTGCTTCTTTCCTATCCCTTCTTGTCTCCTGATTTTTATCTCTGGCCAAATGCTTCCCCTTTGATCTCATACAGTTTATTGTTCTAATGTATTGATTCACTAGAAAGAATTTGCCAATTAAAAAGAACATACCACTGCAATTAACCTAATATAGTGGCTAAAAATTGTTTATATTAGTTTGCTTTCTTTTGGTGAAAGATGCCAGAAATGCCCAAGTCAAGCTAAATATAAAAGGTATGGCTTGATATAGTGGAGTTTTCACCAACGTCACCAGAATTATGCCATCTTTTCTCTAAATTTGGCAAAGCTAATGGATTTAAGAAAGGAAATCCATTGTAGAAACCAATATATATATATATATATATATATATATATATATAGCAGGAAAAGGCTTTCATAGGTGTGTAAATATATGTTATGCACATAAAATTGCCAGTTTGTGATGCTTAAAGTCACAGCGGTGGGAGATGAGTTGGGAAAGGTAAGTTGGGCTAGATGTGAAGGAAAAGTAATTGAGAAGGAAATAAATTTATGTACTTTGTGCCAAGTGCTCTGTTGTTAGGTGCCATTGAGTTGATTCTGACTTATAGTGACCCTGTGTACAACAGAACAAGACACTGCCCAGTCCTGTGCCAGCCTCACACTCCTTGTTATACCTGAGCCCACTGTTGCAGTCACTATGTCAATCCACCTTGTTGAGGGCTTTCCCTTATTTCGCTGACCCTCCACTTTACCAAGTATGATATCCTTCTCCAGGAATTGGTCCTTTCTGACAACATGACCAAAGTAGGTGAGACAAATTCTGGCCATTCTAAGGAACATTCCAGGACATATTCATTCAGTCTTCTAGCAGTCCATGGTATTTTCAGTATTCTCCACCAACACCACCAATTCAAAGGCATCAATTCTTCTTTGGTCTTCCTTCTTCACTGTCCAGCTTTCACATGCATGTGAGGTGACTGAAAACACCATGGCTTAGGTTACATGCAACTTGGTCTTTAGGAATACAGCCAAGTGCTCTACTAGTACCTTCTATTCATTATCCTACTTAATGTAATTTAGTTTGTTCAAATAACATTTATCAACTGCCTGGCATACTTCCAGTCTTTACTACGTCCTAAAAACATAAAGAGGGGTAAGATTTGTAACTTTTCTTGGAGACAATAGAGCATTTGAGATTTTTTTTTTCTTTTTTTCAAATCAAGAGATGGATATGATCAGATCTGTGCTTGAGAAGGGGATTTTAAGAACTCCATGAAGGGCAAAATAAAGGTAGGGGAACCAGAGACATAACAAATGAAAGGAGAAGAAAAGGATATAGGAATGCAAATAAAGATTTACATGTTTGGCACTCCAGATCACAGATTCCAGTGCCTCCAGGAGAAAGGATTCCTGTGAAAAATGTTTCAAATTCTCAGTTCATTAGCAAAATGAGTTCAAGATTCAGGTAATTCTATTTATAAATGAAAACAAAATATCTAGGAAATTGTTTCTATATAGACCCAATATTTATTTATTTATAGAGCCTCCTCCTGTCAAAACAAGACTTGAGGCAGCTTAGAGATGCATACAATACAGACAATAAAAAAAGGAAGAAATTAAGTGAAGTGAAATTTTAATAAAAGCTAAAGGAAGGATGAGCGCATCCAGTTGCTACAGCCCAGTCACACATTTCATTTTGAGCATCCAAGCAGATAGAGTAAAGGGGACATGGACATTTACATGTAGATAAAATCCACTGCTAAAAGTAAACTGGAGGCTTAAGAGGAATATGGTTTTCCTAGTCCTAACACCCACAAGAAATTTCATCCATAGATCCTCATCAATTATGGTACTATGAGGCTATCATCCTCGGTAACATCCATACAATAATCACAACAGCAGGTTTAATATGTCACTGTCCATATATTCTTCACTGTAACCCAGTGAAGTAATACTGCAACAATATTCAGGTCCCAAAAACGCAGGCCTAGCAAATAGCTCTTGAACTTTTTGTAGTGAATGGGTTACCCATCCTTCAGGAAGTTTTCTATGACTAGTATTTCTTATGTATGTGTTTTTCATAACTAAACAGCAGAGAGTTCCAAGAATAAGACACTGATATTCTAAGTTTCAATGTTGAGTGAAGGCACATCCAGATGTTTTGCCAACCACCTGAGCAGAAAGTCAGGTTGGAATCCTCTTCTGAACATTAACAGAATCAAACTCACCTGGGCCACTCCCCTGACCAGTATGGATAAATGTGTCTGAAGGCCTTAGATTCTTAGAACATAGTTGCCATGGATTTAGCCTATAACATTTTGAAAGAATTTATTAATTGAGGTTTTAATTTCCCCTTTGAGTGAACTCAGTGGAATGTAGAATGGGATAGGTAGGAAAATGGGTAGAGAGGTCTGATATGACTTGAGAAAAGACATAAATTCTAGCTCATGGGTAAGACAGAAAGAGAATAGCAAAGTGAAAACATTTTCAAATGTTCTGGCTATGGGGTACTTTAAGGCAAAATGAATCTGGGTCACAGGTGCTAAAATAGATTAAAATTTCACTTTATCCCATCAGTTTCTCATATTGACCTTAGTTTTCTGAGCTTCTGATAGCTCAGTTAAATAGGGAGGATAATCTAATGAACGTGTACTAGATGTTGGAAAGGGACATTGATTTGTTCAAATTGAGGACTTTCAAATAAAGGTCTATGTTCTGCCTAAAATTTCTACAACCACAACTTCATCCTGCTACCTCTCTGAATGCCCTCTCTGCTTCTTTTTCTTAACTGAGCCTGGACTCACACTGGAGTCCATTTCCTTGAGAAGTGGCTACTTCTTTTCCTATTATCTAAATACCACAGATAGTGTAGAAAGACATATTCTCTGAGATCCTGTTTGTCAACTTGTAAATTAAGCCATTATTCCTATTATCTCATGTTTAGGGGGGAAAAAAAAAAAACCTTTCAATCTGTGCCATTGACTGATCCATGCCATCCCTTTTCTTCAGTATCATCTTCCAGTCTCATACAAGACAGGCAACTGAGTCATAGCACTCTTCCCTCTCCTCATTTCCTAAAATCACTCAGTGGTAGATCTGTATGAATTAGTCAACCAATACCTTAACCTCAAAAATCCTTGACCTTCACCCCCAGTAAACTTTAGCTAAATACTGGGTTGAATCAATGAAAGTGCATTTTAGTAAGTGAAAAACAGAAGACTATCAACAATTCCACATGGTTTGACCTAGTACTCCTAAAGCCATAATCTGGACCTATAATGATCTGGAACAGCTTCACCTCTGAAATCTTAAAGTCTAGGCTCCTACTTTCTGGCTACAGCCTGAGTTGCTCACTTTCTATCCCACTGAATTGGCTTTGTAATCTTATGATGCACTCCAATCACTTGATTAATCTCTTTTTTACTCAGTCCACTGAAAACCTTGTGAATAGCAGGGAAACACTATCTGATGTCATGCCAGAAGATGAGCCCCTCAGGTTTGAAAAGACTAAGAATATGACTGTGCAAGGGCTGCCTCCTCAAATTAGAGTCAACCTTAATGAGGTGGATGTAATAAAGCTTTTGAGACTTTCATTTGCTGATGGGGCAAAATTCAAAATGAGAAGAAACAGCTACAAACATCCATTAATAATCAGAATGTGAAAAGTATGAAGAAGTATGAATCTAGGAAAACTGGTAGTTGTAAAAATTGAAATGGAATGCAGAAGCATTTATATAGTAGGCATTAATGAGCTGCAATGAACTGTTATTGGCCATTTTGGATTTATAAAATCATGTGGTCTACTATGCCAGGAATGACAAATTCAAGAGGAATGGCATTACAGTCATTGTCAAAAAGAACATTTCAAGATTCATCCTGAAGTACAATGCTGTCAGTGATAGGATAATATCCATACACCTATAAGGAAGACCAATTGATACAACTATTATTCAGATTTGTAATGTAGTACTGACATTTTCAAAATGTTAGGTCTTCCTTTCCATGAGCATAGTATATTCTCTCATTTATGTTTGTCTCCCCAAGCCCCCTAGATCCAGGAAAGGGAGGGAGCAGGAGTGGGCTCGGGGACTACAGGAGTGGCAGGATATCCAGGTAAAAAGGGGTAGGAGGCAAGGCTAGGCCCCAAGGCCCCTAGAGCCAGGAAAGGGAGGGAATAGGAACGGCCTCAGGGACCTCAGGAGCAGCAGGATATCCAGGTAAAAGGGGCAGGAGGCAAGGCAGGCCCCAAGCCTCCTAGGGCCAGGAAAAGGAGGGAGCATCTAGGGTCCACAGAGTGGTAGGAATTAGGTAAGGAGAGACCACAGAGGTTTCCAACAGCTAAGGGAGACAAATTTGTCTGTCAGATTGTCATCCTGTGAGGCATACAAATTGCTGTGAGGCTTCAGGCTGTGTCACTG